GTCCTTCACCAGCTGGCTATCTCTGATAAGCTGGATCATCCAGGATAGACCACAGCTGCCTAGTCCCAGGTCAAGGTAACATTGTGAGAAATATCATTTGAAATGGATCCCTAACACGTCCCGCTCTGTGGGACTGGGATGACTGGGATGACACAGGAATGAGGAGAGTCGACCAGACGTACGTCGCACGTCCTTGAAGTAGATGGTCTGTCTGTTGGGGTTGAGAAGCTGGATCACGGAGTCGTCATTGTTCCTCACTCTGCAGCTGATGATGGCCACCTCTCCCTCCACCACGGAGATGTTGTCCGTCACCAGATTCTGGCCCTGAACTGAGTAGAGGGGGAGATGTGATTCAGGGCCTAGGCTGACAGAGACACACAGTCACACAGAGAGACACATACACACACATGTACACATACATAGAAAGAAAGACAGACAGACACCGCAGGGAAATCACATGCATTTCCCAAAACCCGCTTTTGGTGCACATATACTTTGGCACTCCCTTGTTTTCCAATTGAAGGGATGCTAAAGCAGACTGCGCCTTGTTCTAAATTTACCCAGGATCCCCCACAGGCAGGGAGGTGGATGCAAATGGAGAAAGAGTTTAAACGCTCCGGAATCTTCCCCAGCGGGACATGAAAGCCCACAGCGCAAAGCTGCGGGACCTCAAATGTGGATGCGCATGGCTGGCTTGTCAGACGGCCCCCACCCTCGCTGACACCTACAGGGCTGGAGGAGCCGGTGCGGACGCATTTGGAGAAGAGCGGAGTGCACAGTTCACACGACAGTCCATGCAGCTTCACCCACAGGGAGTCAAGCACCCATCTGTATGACCTCTGACCTTTTTGAGAAGGTTAAAAATGAGTGGAAGCTGTCTTGAAGGCTGGTGTGCGGCTCTGAGCTCAGTATCTGGGCAGTCATGACAAAATGGACCAATCACAGAGCACGAGCAAGCTCTGTCAATAGAGCGGACGATGAAAACGTGCCTCACTTCACAAACAAAGATTGGGGTCCTTGATGATGATTGATTGGCACACACTCTTATCCAGAACAGGGTGAACCAATTTATCAAAACAACTAAAAACAACCAAAAAACATCATCAACCAGGATTCTTTTGTGGTCAGATTTTAGTCAAGTAAAAACTAAATAAGAGTTCTGTATACACACAGAGAAACAATTCACTTTTTTATCAAACAGATGACAAATCATTACTTCTGTGGGGCTAACTCTGGTATTACAGATACAGAATCAGCCTGATAGCTTTACCACTCAAGTAAGCAGAAAGGAAGTTGTTTTGATTTTAAGCTACAAGCTAAATCTCGGGAGAACACAGTTCTTAAGAAAATGTACCACTAGAGGGCACCATATTGTCAAAACCAATTAGCGTAGCATTTGTGTCTTCTGTGTGAAGTATACCCACGTGGTGCCTTGTGATAACTGTGACGGATAGGCTGTCCAGCTTGGATTGTACCATGCAGTTTAATTACATTCATTTCAATTAACATTCTAGGTGTCTGGGCGAGTTTGTCCTTTCTAGACTCTGTCTGCTCTCTTTACATTGGCAAGCTAGTTTCAAAAGCAAAGAAGAGGACCTTTGACTTGAGAGGGGCAGTATACCTCTCATTCTACCGTGACCTTGGTGTCCATCTCAGGTGGGGTCGGACTACATATTTTCTGAGTGCTGAGAGAGCTCTTCAAGCAAACCAGCTGCACAGTGGTCTACAGTCCTGGGTTTGAATGTGCTGCAAACCCACGAGATGATCAAAAATCCACAGTAAAATGACCACACCTCTCTACATAATGCATCTATGCAAATTCTCCCCCACCTCCACCAAAAAAAATGAGTTCTTGAATAATGAGTTTCCTTGAAATGATCAGTTTTAGCAGGGAGTGTGGTCACCCCTATGTTAAAAAACCTAAGACTCAACAATTGGTCCCAAAAGTCACTGCTATGGGAGTCACTAGGGGATAGTGTGTGATATTTATCACATGGGTTGCAGTTATCTAAGGTGGCAAAGGCACTGTTACACAATGGTGTCACACTGAATAATTGACTTTTTGATAGTCAAGCTCAAATTAGATCAATGAACAATAATATATCTTTGGTCTTTTTTCCCAGAAAATTTTGTTTATACAATTGCAAAAGTGTGTTCCTGTGACAGCATGCACAAGAAGAGCCCTCAAGCTATCTAAGCCATGGATGCAGACATTAATGCAGATGTGCTACCACGGCTTCCAGCCATGCGGCATGTCTCCAATGCTACGTTGTCTTCAGTTATGATCTACAGCCCTGTTTTCTGGCTTCACCCAAGTCCTGCCACAGCACGAGTTGTATCAATCATATGGAGCAAAGGGATCTACTAAATTAGTGGCAGTGTGAGATCAAAAACTGACAGTGAATGAGAAGCTTAGGTGATCAAACAAACAGCTACACAGGCATGGTTCCATCATAGCTAGAGGCCATAGTCTGACTTCTGAAGTCCAGACTCAAAGACTTCTAGAAGGAAATCTCAGTACAGGGTTTCCCCTCCACAAAAGCAGATGTTTATGCAAAGTTCCTGTTAAAGCCAGAGGTTACGTGAAGTATCTTACGGAGAACACGACCCCCCCAAAGGCCATCAAGAGAGCAGGAGAGGTGTCACTACGAGATGCGTACATGACCCTGAACATCAGATTAATTTCCTGCTCTGCAGCTAGCAAGTTAGGGTGAGCGGCAGGGGACACAAATCAGCTAGTCAGGTAGAACCCGCCAAAGCCCAAGCACAACAAACACTTAATCTTCGCTCTCATGAGAAGCGAGCAGTCTGGACACCCGTGGGACATCGGGAGGAAGCTGGTTGGAAAACACGCTATGGATACGGGCCACGTTTCGGATGCGGAGCGATCAGCCATAAGGCAGCCTCAGACGCGGCTGGGAAATGCAAAAGCACGGATAACGGATTACAAGGAGGTCCCTGCCGCCGCTCCTGTTGAGCGTTAGCTAGCCCCCATTTATTCTCCAGATGTGGCAGTTTTCAGCGTGGTTTCACCCTGTGACAGTCCTCTGTTGCGGGTGACATTTAGCTACCGGGGAAACTGCGACTCGCTCTGAGAACCCCATTAACTCACACCGTGTATTTAACAGCGGGAAAAAAATAAAAAAAACACAAAAACAACTGAAAGGGTGGAAATAATAAGTAGCTGTCAAGGAAAAATATTGCAAATAAATGACAAATTAGCCGAAGCTCCACATCTATAAAACAAACATTCATCTTTCGTGGTCTCTATCAGGCCAGTTTATAAGGGCAAATTTAACTGCACAATGGCAGCGAGGAAAGAGCGGCGGCCCAAACGGGCCGCATCCAGCCGCGTGTCGGAGAAGCCGACGGGACATTGGGGACACATATGACGCTCCTCCTAGTGCGGATTGCTCCGAGCGGTCGTCATTGCCGATTGACTGAGCTGAAAGTCACGCCCCAATTGGTGGTCCCAGCCAGTGTGGGTCTGGCCATCTGACGATTTCAGTGGCCCAGCCACAGTCACCTGCGTGATCCCAGTTGTTTTGCCATTTCATTTAGACGGTGTCTACACTAATTACAATACTACATTTATCTTTATTTTATTAGCCAATTTTTCCCATGCGGCGTGAAATGTTTACAGCCGGATAGCTCACTGCAAGCGCGCTGCTATTTTGTTCACCTATGGAGGGGGGAGGTGGAGGGTGGGAGCTGATATCTCGGCCTGGACGATGGCAGCCCGGTGAGGTACAAGATCACAAGGACATCAGCAGCTTTGACAGGAGAGGGGACAACTGTGTCACTGTTTGCCCAAGGAGAGAACGTGGGCGATAAGATGTCATCAGGACCGGGGGGGGGGGGGGGGGGGGGGGGGGCTGTTATTCCTGCCTAGCGACTCACCTCTCCACTGGGAATGGAGGCAGCGGGCAGGAAAAACAAAAGCGTGATCACTGCACCAGGCACTCGGGGAGGGTGTAGGAGCACGTGCACGATAAGATGGCAAAGGGTGAGCTGCCACCAGGGGGGGGGGCGGCCGCCGGATGCTCCCGCGACACTGAGCGTGGGGACGGAGGAGGGGGGACAGAGGTGAACACCATGCGGAAGGGGCAAGTGTGGTGTCAACACTGAAGGGGCACCCTGAGATTGCACACTTTGCCTGGAGAGCCATGAAGCGGGTCAGGAGGTGCGGTCTGGCTGGCAGTGGGGTCTAGGGGGCGCCAGCGAGCAGAGCATACATTAGCAAGCACCACCATAACATGCTGCCACATACATGCAACCTATGCTCCATCCCCACTTTCAAGGTCCAGCAGCATTTCCTGCTGGGTCTCGATCCAACAATCCTACAGGATCACACTTGTAAGGCCCTGTCTTTGACTCCACATCGAACAACCTAGTTCAGTTGAACGTAGCTACCAAAACAAACCTGAGGTCTCACGAGCGTCAGCGTCAGGTCCATTTAAGCGGAATGGTGCGTGGGCACGACCCCATCCTGTGGAGCGTGTCACTGCTTTTCATTTGTGTCTCTATCTACTTTCCTTCAACGTGGAAGCAAGGCAAAAACTCATTCCTTTTGAAAACACGTCTCTGTAGCCACTGGGGATAATTCACGAGGCTTTTTTTTTTCTCTTTTTTTTGCTGCCCTGTCAATGCAACAAAGAATCTGACACGGTTCTCGCTCAATACACGGCAGCTTGTTGGTCCTGAATAGGTCACTCCTGGCTCCCCCGCCCCAGTGAAATTTGGAACCTTGTATGTTTTGCGTGCCTTGGACAGAGCTTACCACGTGGTGCACAACTCTCTGCTGTGTGATGTTAATTCATTTGATTTTATTTGTAAGTGTCGTCCTACTTTTGTGTACCAGTCGGACAGGACACATCTAAGCATGGGGGGTTGTCACTGAGGCATGAAAGGAGACTGATATAATTAGCACGTCGGGAATGGCTGATGTGGGAGGAGGGGGGGACATTGTCAATGCGGCTTGCCCAGCCGACAGGGGGGTGGCCTTTTGATGACAAACATTTCTTGTCTTCAGTAACTCAAAGGAAATGCAATAGTACTGTCGTCTGGTAGGGTGCCCGCGGCTCGGGGCTCCGCATGGGTATTGAGCTGGCACTCTTGTTTCTCATCAGAGGACACTTGCACCCGAGCGGCATGGGTGAAATCCAGGCCTCTGGCCTTTAATCTGCGCATGGCAGCATCTTAGCATACAGGGCTGCTCCTATTCACGGCTGACAAGGACAGTTCTTTAATTAACTGAGGGGAACGAGAACACAAAGGGGAACTGGCACGCTGCCGATGTGGAGTTCACAGCGGACTCCTACGTGCCACCCAT